GGAAGAGGCTCTCCATGCAGGCTGTCAGGTAGATAGCTGCGTGCTCGTGGATGCGCAGCGCCACGCGGCTGTCGACCATCCAGCGGTATACGCGGCCCACGGAGAAGGTGAGGCCGCAGCGCGCCGATTTGCCGCGGCCCAGGCGGTCGCCGCCGGCACTGCTCATGTTGTAGAGGGACAGGGCGGACAGCGCGGCCGCCGTGCAGTGTGCCGCGAGGCCCCAGGACAGCACGATCTCCATGGCGCTCTGGATCTCGTACTTGGTGCACTTAGCGAAGCGCAGGCTCAGGCGCTGAGCCTCTTTGGCGATGCGTACCAGCGCCCGGCTCACCAGCGTCGACAGCTTGGCCAGCGCGTCTTTGGGCAGGCCGCTGGGGGCCACCGGGCCTGCCCGGGGATCCCGGGAGCGCAGCAGCAGCGCCTCCAGTTCCTGGAGGGTCCAGGGTACCTCGTCTAGGTCCGGCAGCAGCCGAGAGCAGTGCTGGCCGGCGCAGTCCAGCCCCTCGGAGTCTTCCACCAGGGCAGTGTTGACAGTGTCAAAGCTGTTGTGCCGGCTGTGCATGGAGTCAGCTAGAGGCGGCCAGCAGCTCCCGCCATACGGGGACGCCGGGTGCGAGTCAGAACAGCACAGAGACAAGTTGGAGGAGCGCACCGAGTCCGCCGCGCCACCATAACCCGAGTCCAGTGTCAGATCCTCCAGTGTCCGCACCACGGGCTTCTTACCTCTCCTGGCCATCGCTGCGCCACTTCATGCTGCGGCCGCCGGGGAGCTGAGGGGAAGGAGCAGCGAAGAGCAGCGGGCGCCCAGGCGCGGGTAGACCTGAGTCCGCGCCGACTCGGCTCACTCTTCCACCAGACGCTAGTACAGAGTGTTTCTACTTTCGGCTGCCTCCCCGAGCCGTCGCCGCCGGAATACACAGGGCAGACAAGGGAGTCATCTTCCAGAGCCCGGGCCAGAGCTGGGGTGCGCTGAGGAGAGAGCCAGGCAGGGAGAGAAGCTCACGCCGGACTCGCCCCTTTCTTCCAGAATAAAATAAAAGTGTCTGAACCGCTCGTGACTGGGCCAGGCTGGACGCAGAAGCCCCTGGACGCCGGCCTCGGTGTTCGTAGGACAGAAATCGACCCAGATACCGCCACGGCAGCAGCTCTGCCGGCAGCTGGCTCTCGGCTCTGGGCTCCTCAGCTCCCGGCTCCCGGCTCGGGGTTCTCTCACTGAAGCGCAGCAGCAACCGCGGCGGCTGCAAACCCTCTCGAACCCCGCAAACCCCGCGCAGCCAGCGGGGCGGGCTTATGTAAAGCAGGGCCGGCGGAGAGCCAATGGTATTGAAGGATGCTAATTATCTCTCTAAAAAAAAAAAACCCTCAGCTCCACGCAGCCCCGCCCCTCACACGCCCCCGGTCCGTGACCGAAGGCTACAGGAAGTGGGGGGCAGAGTGCCTTGGAACAGGGGGTCCCGTGGGAGTGTAGAGACGCAGAAGCTGCCCCTCAAGCTTCGGCTTTGATACCAGAAAAGAAGAATGGTAGGTTGGGCAGGTGACCCACCCACCTACCAAGTTGTGCTCCCCCCAGCGGTTCACAAAGTGTCTGGCTGGGGTCGCTTTCTGCCCCTGCGTTTCGAATTTCACTTTCCTTTTTCTTTCTCTAATACACGAAGCGTTTTTTTCTTCCTCTCCAGCCTCCTCCACCTTCGAGTCCCCAAACCAATTAATGTGGCCCTTTTTCTGTCCTAGTTTGCCCCAGAGTGGAAGGAAATAAACCAGGCAAGCAGAGGGATCGGGGCAATGGACATCACTGAAACGCTGTCTCTGGACATCAGACATCTGCCGCCAGGGCCCACTAACTAGAGTCCCTCCTTCAAATGCCTGGGGTTGCACTGTGGGTAAGGCTTATGTCACACTTTGCTGTTCTGGTGGGTATGCTTCCAGACAGCTCAGCTTTGAAAGGGGTAAATTTGCACAGAGGAGAGGTGTTTTTTTGTTTGTTTGTTTTTTACTAAAGAAGGATACACATGCATGATTTAGTTGAATTTTATGTCAAATAGCATTGTCTTATTTGTACTCACCCACTAGGGCAAAAACCATCTCTTATTCACCTGGGGATCACTAGTTCCCACTCTCTCTGCCTGGAGTAGGGGACTCTCCCCATCTGGCTTCCTCTGAATTTCTAGCTTAGAAGTGCCCTCCTACCAGAAGGTAGCCCAGATCCTTCATGTTAAAAACAATAACAACAACAAAATTCAACTGAGTAAATTTTAAAGATCTTATTGGCTTTATTCAATGATTCATGAATATGGCAGTATCCAATCTAGCAGAAGGAAAGGAGCTTAGATGAGCTGTATAAAATGAAAGACTGTTATAGGCAGAAGGGAGCAGGAATAAGCAAGGTATACTAGACAGAAAAAAGCAGATTAGTTTTTGCAAGGTTACTTTCCTCTAGGGGATGGCAGGGGTCTATCAGGCAGACTACCTAGCTAGTGCTGAACAGGAGATTCCTCATTAACTAGTTTAAGATTCCATTTCTGGGAGAGCCACAACAGTGAGTAAGCGTCAGTTTGGTGAAGAGGAGTAACTTAACATAAGCGACTCCGTTTGGAGCCTGGTGTCTTGTTAACATTCAGTAAACCAGCTAACCAGAGCTTGAAATTAAAAGCCACCCATCCCTTCACCCCAATAAACCACCATCACCCTGTAGCTACCATTCTAATGCATATGCCCATCACCTCTCACTATTGACTATTGTAATATTCTCCTGACTGGGCTCCCTCTCTCCTGCCTTTTCCTTCTCCAAACCATCCAGTCCAAGAATCTTCCAAAAGCCCAGTTCCTATCTTATCATTCCTCTCTTGAAAAAAATTCAAATGTTTCCCTTTGCCTTCCAGATAAATTAAGTTTATACTGATTAGCTGGCCTTCAGGGATCTCCTCACTTTGTTCCCAGATGCTTTCCACAACATTCCAAACCCTTTATAAGGGATTGTGATGGTTAATTTCATGTGTCAATTTGACACAGGTGCCCAGACTAAACATTGTTTCTGGGTATGTCTATGAGGGTTTTTCCAGATGGGATTAGCATCTGAATTGATGGAATCAGTAAATTGCTCTCCCCAATGTGGTTGAGCCTCATCCAGTCTGCTGAGGGACTGAATAAAACAGAAGGTGTAGGAGAGAAGAGTTCATCACCCCCACCACCTCCACCTCACTGATTGAGCTGGAACATATCTTCTCCAGCCCTCGAACTGGAATTTACATCACCTGCTCCCCTGGTTCTCAGCTCTTTGGACTTGGACTGAATTATACCATGAGCCTTTCTGGGCCTCCAGCTTGCAGACATCAGATCATGGGACTTCTCATTCTCCATAATTATATGAGCCAATTTCTCATAAGCAATCTCTATATATGTATTTTTTTCACATACCAACAAATACAGGGATACTGAGTCTTTAATGAGCTGAATCCTGCCTCCTTCTCTAGGCTCTCTGTCATCACACTAGCCTCTTGAATACGAATTCACACTCACATAGACATACAGATGCCCTGATACACCTACAGAGATACCTGCACACACACGAACACACAGACAGATGCACTCACACACAAACACATGCCTATGCTCTAGCCATACTGAAATCTTTCCTGGTTTTCCAAATTAACATGTTGTTCCTTGCATTTGATATGTCTTTGCAGATGCTCTTTCCTCTGCTCACTCTGCTCAGGGACACCTGTCTTCCTCTTCTGAACCTGGCAGACCTCATCCTTTAAGATTTGGCTCCAAGATTACCACCACTGTGAAGTTTTCCCTGATGCTACCTCCTGTCCACCCAGCCTAGACCTAGGAAGGTGTCTCCATCTCTGTTGTTCAGGATTTGTTCCCAGAACTTTTTCTCTTCTCCTCCGTGTGTTTCCTTGGTGATCTCATTCGTTCATATATGTCTTCAGTTTCTACCTATGTGAAGATGAGGCTTGAGTGATGACCACTCAGAGGCAGGCAGCAAGAGAACCCAAGAAAAGCCTCATGTACAGGGAAGAAAAGAGACTAAAGGCAATGGGATCAACACTGATTTATTTTTTTTTCTATGGCACCAGGTCAACTTGGGTTCCATTACCGCCTCAGCCACTTTTCCAATCATGTATCCTAAGTTCACTCATTCAATCTTTTATACTCCCTTTCCTTGTCTTTGACATGTACAAATAATCATACCCATCTTTTGGGGTTGCTGGGGGGTTAAACAAGATTTTTCCATATATAGGATTTAGCACAGTGTTCCACACATGATAATAACTATATATGTGGGTTATTGTTTTCTACATTTTCCTATTTTCTGCAATAAATACACTTCTGATAGAATCAGGGAAAAAAAGACAAATGTTACATATAAAATCCAAATGATCCTTCAAGGCTGGGCTGAAATGCCACCTTGTCTCGGAGGCTTGATGTGTCTTAGTAGACACGCTGTTCCCTCTAATGCTATAGATGAGCACATGCCTCCTCTCACCTTCTAGAAGCCACGCTCCTTGAAAGACAGGATCTTGCCCCCAAACAGGCCAGTTCTAATGAGCATGTTCCTTAGCATTATGGATAAACCAAAGCATATGTCTGTTTAATTTATTGAAGTAGATCATTAATAATAATGTTAAGCAACTGAAGGCAAGTGACCCCAAGCACTGAGAATAATAAAGCCATCAGCCAAATGTTAAATATTAGCCCCAAACCATTAGAAAATACAGCTGCAAAAAAAGTATGAAGAAAATTAAAATAATCCAAAATTCCATCTCAGATCAACATTAATGACTTCTTGTGTTTCCTTCAAGTCTTTCTAATTTTTTCCTGTCTTTTTCTTCTAAGCATATGTATTTTAACAGAGTTGGAATTTTTCTGCAAATCATTTTGCATTTTTATTTTTTTCTTAAGAAACTTCTTCAAACTTTATAGTATAATCATTTCCCCATGCTATTAAAATATTCATCCAAAATATTCTTTTTTGTGACTACAAAATATTCCAATGTATGTTTATACCTTAACTGGTGTGTTGATTCCCCATTTGGTTGTTTCTGTTTTCTAACTGGTATGAGTAATGCTGGGATGAACCTTTTTGTACATAAATAACGCTCTTCTTGAAAACTAGAAGTTTAATCTATGTTATCCTCTGAGAAATGTAGACAGACAATAAACAGTCACTAAAGATTTTTTTAAAACAGAAATTCAATTACTGGTATTATTCTGCCTATCAGATTAGCGAAGATTTATAAAGTCAGTGGTGATAAATGTGTCTCATGATGGGACATAAATTAGGGCAATCTTTTAAGAAGGGCAGTTTGCCAACATGTATCAAAATGTCATTGTGCCCTCCTTTGGAATTCCCAGAAATCATATCTTCAGATATTATCAAAGGTGATCCTTGTGAATTTTTCAGAAGTATACAGGATGTTCTTTGTCATGTTGTTTTAACACAGGACTTTGGGAAACAATCTAAATATCTTTCAATAAAGCCTGTTTAAATGAATTATATTCATTCATACAAGGAAATACTTAGCAGTGGCAAAGAATAATAATGGTGATCTTTATTTCACAAAACATTGGTGAGTGAAGAAATTTTTGAAAACAGGTTTTGGAATTGCATGTATAATATGAACCCATTTATGTCAAATGATTTACGTAGAGCTTAAAATGTGTATAAATATGTAAACTTGCCTAAATGGATGGGAATCATAGCTATAAGTAGTTTGTTGGATTTCTGATGATTTGGTGTTTTTTTTTAAAGGAGCTTCGTTGATTCTAGTTCTCTCTCTGATGTTTTCTTCTTTTACTTTTTTTAACTTTTTTTTATTGATTTATAATCATTTTACAATGTTGTGTCAAATTCCAGTGTAGAGCACAATTTTTCAGTTATACGTGAACATATATATATTCATTGTCACATTTTTTTCTCTGTGAGCTTCCATAAGATCTTGTATACATTTCCCTGTGGTATACAGTATAATCTTGTTTATCTATTCTACAGTTTTGAAATCCCAGTCTATCTCTTCCCACCCCCCACCCTCTTGGCAACCACAAGTTTGTATTCTATGTCTGTGAGTCTATTTCTGTTTTGTATTTGTGGTTTGTTTCTTTTGTTTGTTTGTTTGTTTTTTAGATTCCACGTACGAGCGATCTCATATGGTATTTTTCTTTCTCTTTCTGGCTTACTTCACTTAGAATGACATTCTCCAGGAGCATCCATGTTGCTGCAAATGGCATTATGTTGTTGGTTTTTATGGCTGAGTAGTATTCTATTGTATAAATATACCACCACTTCTTTATCCAGTCATCTGTTGATGGACATTTAGGCTGTTTCCATGTCTTGGCTATTGTAAATAATGCTGTTATGAACATTAGGGTGCAGGTGTCATCCTGAAGTAGGGTTCCTTCTGGATATATGCCCAGGAGCGGGATTCCTGGGTCATATGGTAAGTCTATTCCTAGTTTTTT